GCTGCTGCACTGTAGCACGATAAGACCTCGAACAAAACGTTTCGAAATACAAGGCGCTGCCGGCTCGCGAGATGGGAAGTATTGTGACGGATACCGACCCTTCTGCTGCCCTTTTCGACTGGGCGCGGTTCCTGTGAGAGATGCGGTGGCGGCGCTCGTCTTGGGCGGCGGCGACCGAGGCCATTATCGGCTCAGTCGCTCGGGGCAATGGATGTGCGAGCGCCCATACCTACTGTACTCGTCTCGGTATGTCCTGTACATACGACAATAACCAGGGGATAGATGTCTATGAAGGCGGAACGCATTGTATATTAAGCTGCCCAAACCCCCTTTCACCTTTCTACCACTCTGGCAACCATGGTCCCTTATAGGCCGCTGCACTCGTCCGGGTCCTCGTCGTCATCTAGGGACTGGCCTCGAAGTCTTTCCGCCTTAATTTCGTCCAATGTATTGAAAATAGTTCGGTTATTAAAGCCACTAAGGTCCAGAAGAATTTTTACTTTCTCGTTCAGAAATAAGCCCTTAAAGGAGGTAAATGCGTGGAGGAGGTCCTATTATATCGGTTAGATGAGTGTGTGCATCCTAGAATGCTCTCAAGTGTAGCTTACCCATCTTGTGGCCACTCTACCACCAGTGGTACATCGCAGGATGATATCAGCCCGTTGTGTCTCTGCAGCAGCATCTAGCATTGGATTAATGCCTCCTGAATATGCCTTTGGTCTCCAGCCAAGGTGCGTTGGAAGCTTCTCGTGCACGAAAACCGACTCGATGTATTTGAGTTCTGCGCCATTCTCATCACCTAAAGCAAGCATAATTCTGGCGGCCTCTATGGCACCGTGAGTGGCAGCGGACTCGTCGTAGGGGAGTCCTACGTCCCTGACTCGGGCGGCCCTTGCTCTCCCGAAGCAGTTGGCGTCTATTATTTCCCTCTTCCCCTTCTTACACTTTTCCATTGCGTCAAGCGCGACGTCCCAGGGTCGTTGCTGGAAGAGGGAGGTAGAAGGAGGCGGCGCAAAAGGGAAGGGTGGCGATATGATGTCCTCGCGTGACAAACTTCGGGTATGCTGGATTTGCCATGTACTTCTGTCGACGTCATGCAATAAAAATCTAGAGGCTGCTGGGAGATCGGCACTCCGTAGGCCATTCAAGACAATAAAGGCGCATATTTCGGGGGACAATCCAAAGCCGCGGAAGCATGCTATTACTGCACTTCTTGCAGTAATCCCTATTCCAGAACTCGGTAGATATCCCTCATTTGCAAGCGTGTTTAGCCCCGGGCACGCGCTGCGCGCTGCGTATATACTTGGTCAGTATTTACTCGCTGTTGGGGGAGAAAACCTTACAGACAACAAATCTCTTGGCAGGCTGTTCATCGTGGTTGCCGCTATTAGGGAGAGAATCCGATTTAGCAGAGACTGGTAAGAAAAAGGCAAAAAACCAAAGCAAAAATGCAGAAGTAGTTTGAGATTTCATCTTGGAACTTTAATAGCAAGACTTGACAAGTTTATTAAACTTCAATCCTAGCTTGCTTGCTCTATTACAGCCAAGCTATTAGGTGGTCTGGACCAGCAGATATTTATATATTTATATCAACAGACTAAGATGGAACACGCTCTGTACTTGTCATATGACAGCGTTGTGCACCATACGTGCATACTTGGTGTCTCGAGCCCCAGGCAGTACCTATCTCCGAAAACGCGAATACCGAACGGCGGCTGGACTATTTACCATTTCGGGGGGGCGAGTGGTTCAATGATAAATCTTCTCTAGTATAGAACTTTAGATTCCTGCTACTAGCTTCAACCCAGCAGAATAGAGGAGCTAGCACGGAATCACCCACCCCCCTGTTGCTCAGTCAAACAAATGACACTAACATCACTAAAAGCCTGAATTTTGAACCACTCAGATTCCAATGAAAAATAAATATAAAGGCATAAAATCTGGTGGTGTGCTGAAGCGGCTTAGGTATCTTCACTTCAATCGCCAAAGCTGTCTCCGTCTCTGATTCCACCTCCTCTGTCAAAATTGTATCCACCACAATAGTCTTCTTTAGACTCCCAATTTCAGGGACAACTCCAGTGGCCGCCAGAGCTTCGGCAAGACTTATTAAAGTGTCTATTGGGGTTAAGGATGGCTCTTCTCTTTCGTCCACTCCTTAGCCTATCTACTTCTTCCTCCAGCCTGGCAATTTTACTGCCATTCTCTGCCAGCGACTATTCTCAGGTAACCTAGCCTTGTGCTAATTTGGCGTGTTGCCTCTGAGTTGCAGGTGTTTTGTTCTTGCCAAGGTCACGAATACGGCTGGAGGCCATGAGAACAGTAAGATGGAAGATATCAACAACACATCGCAAGTGTACTAGAGTGATTAAAGAAAGAAGCTAGTTAATCGAGACAATTGTTGGCCAATCCGAGCAACCGAGGCTGCAGGGTTCCATGCAGCGCCGTGGTTTCAATGTCTAAGGATACGGAGGGAGGGTGTTTCATCACGCCCCCAAGCGCGACTACCGCAGAAACTCACAAAATCCGACCTGTCTCGGCAGCCTATAGGCGGGGGCCCCACATATAGGGCCACCTTCAGCTGCCTACTGAAAGTAGAGCAGTCTAGTCCTGCCTAACACTCCTAGTAGGCTTGCCTGATATAAACCCGAGCAGGGCTTGCTAGGGCGATTCTAGACAGTCAAGTAGTCAGTACATGCTCTGTGGCAGGGCTGTCCGTGAGCCCTGCACCTCCCCAGACCGTCAAGACAGGTCGGGTTTCGTGATGTTGATAGATGACCGGTCCCGACGGATACGTCGTAATGCCATACCAATACCTTCTCGTCATGAAGAGACACGTCATATCGCATCGTATGACAAAGCCCCTTCTCCACTAATCATATATGCTACCAGTTTAGGCTGGCTGCATATCTATGCAAAGATCGTCCATCGTGTTGCGTGACACGCTCTCGCGTCTCGATACCCTGCATAACGGCCCAGCACCATGACATAGCAAGAGATTCCCTTCTCAGGTGTGCACCTGGGGCCTCTCCCCAACCCACCCAACCTCTGCTACAGTCTACATCTCTTGACCCGAAGACCGGAACTGGGGCCATCTCAAACGCCGAAGAGTGGACCACGTACGACGACATGACCGACGCCAGTTGGGCGGCAGCGGGAAACACAGCTTGTCTGTTCCAGATACTCAGTGCAGACTTGCCAGAGGCCCATACAAGGCAATGCGTCGCTGTTCCGGTTTATGATCGTGCCGTCACCGAGCTTTGCCTGGAGCAAGGAGTTAGTCCCGTGCAGCCGCTGCAAGTAACATGGGGTGTAGTGCTTCCATCCTATATTGGCACTGGCAAGCCGTGGTTTCTATACTAAGATGACGACGCTTCTTCAATGCTACGTATTGTTGACTCTATACTTCTCTTAACTTGTTAGAGGACTTTCTTAATATTTTGACCCTAGGCAAAGGAGTTACTGGCTTGATTAGCCTTTTAATTAATAACTCGAGTCGTCGATTAAATACAGATAAAGTATGATAATATTCGTCTGGAATCCCAAGTGCCAATTGCTTTATAGACTCTTTACAGTTTAGTATAAAAATTGAGGTATATGGACTCAGTAATGATTTGGGTTTCTTGCTGCAATGAAAAACATCCGTTCTCTCGGATAATCAAGCAATTAGCCTAGGGCGGGCACCTTGTCTTACACATCTCATCCTAAATCATCAGGGGCCTATCCTTTTTAGGTTCATAATCCTATCTTCTTATTCTATTACTGACTAGTTGACGGCATAGAGTCAAAAGACTTTAGAGACAGTTAATCACTGCATTTATATTCTAGTTGAGCGTAATAGTTGACCTAACCCTTTAATCACCCTTCATCAGAGCCCTCGCATCCTCAAATTCCTTACACATGCCTATCATCAGCCTTTGTCTAAGCCCGCCAATACCCGCTAGCTCGTCTTGTACTTGAAGGCTCAGCTGGAATGTTTCGCATCCAACACAAGGGTTATAGATGTTCTGGAACTATATCATGTATGACACACTCTAAGGGAAGTGGCATCATATGTGCCACATTGCCTCGCAGGGCTGACGCAATGACTTTGTGCGTTTGGGATATTTGCCAAGCTTAATCGAGCTAGCCCAGGTGGAGGAAGCTTTATATCGGAAGAAAGCGGTTCCTTTTTTCCTTTCAACTCATATCAATACCCATCTTTGAGTTTCTCCCTCAAGATGTGGCCTATACCCTGTCCGCATAGAATGAACGGATTAGACCATGAATTAGTTAAATTAAGAGCCAGCTCAGTCCAACACCCCTAACCATTGTCCACAGCGACGTATGTTTCATCGCGGCTCCTACCGGGCTCTACGTGACATGCATAACCGATGGTGCATTTTATAACGGCATATTGTTGATCATCATGGACCTTTCGAGCGTGGTGATTGGGGCTGTCTGTGCAAAGAACACCCGCTGTGCTACACCCCCTGCTTGCATAGGTCTGTTGATGCTACTAGACATTTCGTCTCTGTCTAGCCCAGGGTTTGCCCTCCTCTTCTATTCAAAGCTCTTGTATGTCTTTAGTCCGCGGACCACTAGCCAGAAGATAGGCTGCTCGGCGATCCCGTTGATTATCCATGTCGTCGTCCAGGCGGGTACGCCCGAATTGAGCCTGCGGGACCTCTGACGACTAGAAGAGACGACCATGGCCTCTTTGATGACGCCTTATGATGCTGTTTGCGTAGTGCCTTGGCTCCTCAGTCGCTATTCACCAGTTGACGAAACAAACATCTTCCCGTTCTGTAGTTGCCAGGGCCTTTGATCAAGATTATCGAGTAAGTAGTGGCCGGAAACGTTCATACACGAGAACCAAACCATCGGGTAATGTGGTCTCTTGGAGTGTTGGGGGCCGTTTACAACAAAACTATCCCGAATGTTCCCCCTCGGAAATGGCGTAGACAGCCACACTTCCCCCTTTGTACTTTTAGAGACCTCATCAACGTTATGGAGGTGGGAATCTAGGCCCCAGATGCCTGCTTCGACTTTTCCAGGTTGCCAAGCGCTCTCACGACTAGAGGCCAAAGCTTGAGATCCGTCGCCTTGCTGTCTATAAACTCGTTGACCTTTGTGATCTTCTCTCCCGTCTCGTCCATGGTTAGCATAAAGACGAACTCTCCGACGTAGTCCCACTGCTCTTTGGTGACCTCCTCATAGTCCTTTAGCTCCTCTCGAAACTGTGGCCGGCCCGTGGTCCATACGACGACCACTAGACATAAAAGTAAGCGAGGACTCTTGTTGAAGAACGACCACAGAAGAGAATGTCGCACAGGGCCCCCGCCGCATTCGATAATCCTGGTCGGGATCAGATACTTACTGTTGGAACTCTCGCTTTCGATATACTTGATTACATTTAGAGGGTACCCCGTCATTACCCTCTTCATATTCTCCTTGAACTCGATAAATCCTGCTTTATCGAACGCCTGCAGCTTATCAATCGACCGTGAAGGCGATATTTCGAAAACCAAGCTGTCTGCAAGCAGAGAGTGCAGCATCTCATTGTCGTGCGTGGCGTAATGCTCCACGAACTTCCTCGCACTTTGCATACGCTTCGAGTCCATCGTGAAAGTTCTGTCTTGGAGTGTGAAGCGGTAAGCTTGCAACTTTTAGCAGAATAACGTTTTTCAATGTTTGAGTCGAGCCTAAAAGAAATGTGAAGAGCCTCCCGGATTTGACGTGCCACGTATTGTAAATGTGGTCAAGCTTGAGGCTCTGCTGTCTTCGAAGTGTGCAGGCGAGGGGCTACATAAGAGCCCTGAGTGGGATTGATCTGGCATATTAATCGTTAATCAGAGGAGACCTTAAATTTGAGCAAATTAAATCCCAACTAGCCCTCCTTCCATTTGGAGCTCGGCGTCGCAGGGGGGATGTTTAAATGATTAAATCGTAACTTGGTATCAGGCATGTAGATTATACCTCTGGTCATCCGGTCAGCCAACGCCTATATCAGCTTTATGATATTCATCAGGTTGGCATATAAGAAAGGAGAGGGAAGACCTCTGGCTAAGATCTCCAAGGGCGTCTTCTCCATCCCTTAGACGGCTACTAGGATATTTGTCCTTTCTACCCTTCCATCAGCCGGCTACCCTGACTTCGATTACCAATTTCTCATCTTGCCTCTAACAGCAGTTGATGTTGGGGATGCTTTACGTTCCTCCTACTGTGCTGCAAGCAACGCATGGGCCAGAATCTCCTGCCTGCTCCGAGCTGCTTTTTGTTGGCCTGACATTCGTACTGTGCAGCTGTACCTCCCTGCATGCGCTCCGATTAACTGCAGGAGTGTACTGTAGGACCGCATGAGCCATGTCAAAGAACGTCGCTACTATCAGCTGCATCTCCTCGGAGTGCGTTAGCTGCATGTTGGGTGTCGGCGCACCTCCCAATCATGCCAGCAAGCGAGTCCTAGGGTGTGCCCGGTGTGACGCATGCTTATCCCCCCTGCTTCGCCACGGCCCCCGTGCCTCGTACTCTTGTACGTACATAGTTCCAACGCTTGTCTCTGGGGCCGAAGACGAATCGACAGACCTTGTGGATCCTCACTGTTGGGTAGGCCAACTTGCAAACGGTCCTACTCCGGGAACCTGCATTGTCCCACCGGCGAGGTAATACTACGTACAACAGGATGGGGGTGCATCTGCATCGAGTTTCCCCGTGCTGACCTTCCCAGCTGAGCTTCCTTTGGATGGGTTTCCGAACAGAAGCTCCAGGAAAAAGGGCACGGCGCGTCATTTCCCTCGCATTTTCGCAGAGGGGCGACCTGGGTGTACCTGCGTTCTATTCTTAGCCTTTGGGAGCCATGGTGAGGTCGTGGGAGCTGGAAAGCCTTTGTCTTTCCCTTGTGAGACTGGCCGCACGAGAGGGCCCTTACAGGGCCTTTGGAAGGATTATCATGGGTCTCACTATGACAACCATCCCCCTTGCCCAGTGTTTTGAGTCCAACCTCTCAAATCTAGCTACGAAGGTCCAAGACTTTCGTTAAGGTGAAAATATCAGCTGCGATCTACAAGGGTGTCTCCGTCATGATAAAACGTCGTCTTCTCCAAAACTGATCAAGCTTACCTGTTCCTACTCTTGCCGTTTAAATCTTGTAGAAACAATTGCCAGCTTATTTTATTTTTCTGATCGGGGAGGTGAGATGATGCTGGTAAAGTTCCTGGTCCTTCTCGTGGCGGGAGGTTTAGCAGCGTGAGCATTTCTCTTTACCATTCGTTTCAGGCGTATGTATATATGAAGAAGCTAACAAACTAGCGAAAGTGAGAATGGCACAGCCTCGGTGCTTCAAAGAGCTTGCAAAGCGGCGCAAGACTCCCTTGGAGCTGATCAAGTGGACACATCGCCTTTGAACCAAACCATTGTCGAAGACAATTGGCAAGCCAGCCTCCCCTGTATCCCTGTTGAGAATCCAAGACAGACTCAGGCTAACATGGAGCAGGTCGTTGTCATGTTTGGCTGAGCCGTACTGTATCATTCTCCCTCGCAATGCAAGGGCCATTTCGACCGCTATCCAAATCATCGCCTACTTCAATGCCTCTTTTGCCGTCCGCGCCGGGGGCCACTCGCCCAATCCGGGCTGGTCAAGCGTTGACAAGGGAGGGATCTTGGTCGACCTGCAGTACATGAACAAAGTCTCCCTCACAAGCGACAGTAACGTAGCCAGTGTCGGTCCTGGGGCACGATGGGGCGACGTAATGAAGGTAGTGAACAAGCGGAACGTATCCGTTGTCGGAACACGTGCCCCTGACGTGGGTGTTGGAGGATCTCTTCTAGGAGGTACGGCTGAAGATACTCTAAAGAGCTCCGCTTGGGAGATTCGGGAGGCTCCCTTAAGCTAATCGACGAATCCAACATAGGGGGATATTTTTACCTGTCCGGATACGGTCTCGCGACAGATAACGTGAAAAGCTTCGAGGTACGAGAACGAAAACCTTTATATCAATGCCAACTGACCTGACTGATAGATCGTCCTGTCGAGTGGGAAAATAGCAAATGCTAATGCACATGAAAATGACGATCTTTTCTGGGCCCTTAAAGGAGGAGGGCCGAATTTTGGGATCGTGACGCGATATGACCTCAACACCATTCCCGTCAACAAGATATGGTACAAAGTATTGTCCTATCCGACTGATCAGGCCATGAACGTTCTCGATGCCGTTGCGAAGTGGCAGCTTGAGGGGGGCTCTTCCGACCCCAAAGGGAATATAATTTTCTACATCGGATTGGATTCGATTTTGCTTGGTCTTGTCTACGCAGAGCCACTGGCTGGGCAGCCAAGCTGTTTTGCTTCGTTCAACAAGCTGGCGCCAGTCACAGTTGCTGTTCCGGCTACCAATGGGACCTTTACTTCCCTCAATGTCATCGCTGAGTCGAGCGTATCGAATGCAACCATACGGTAGGTTCTCCCGTCGTCAGGCTTCCAGTCCCCGGCCATGTCTAACGAATTCTTCCGCAGCCATGACTACAGGGGTGTCAGCTCGCTCGTCGACGCGCAGCTATACAAAGACGTCTACAAGTTCTGGCTAGAGAAGGCCAAAGCAGTCTACAACACCACGGGGTCCAAGCAAACTTTCGCGATACAGCACGTCCCCAGCAGTATCGCCGAGCACGGGGCTAGACAAGGTGGCAACCCGATGGGTATCCCGCAGCAGACACATCAATGTAAGTTGTGCCCGCTGGTGGAAATGGCTCCGAGTTCGTCTGGCCCTGTTCTAGTGCAGTTATTAATTGTTAATGCCATGTCGCCAGGGTGGACGACGCTCGTCGACTGGACTGACGAATCAGCGGATGGTCTTGTTCGATCCGTTGCCATCGAGACCACGGCGTACTGGCAACGGCTCTCGCAGGAGCGAGGGCTTGACGTCTCCTACATCTATATGAATGATGCTGCGCGAGATCAAGACCCGATCGCTACATACGGAGGCGCGAACGTCCAGACACTGAAGGAAATTGCAGCAAAGTACGACCCGGGCCAAGTTTTCCAGCGATTGCAGAACGATGGGTTTCTACTATACAAAGTCCGGACTTGAATACTCAGCGACTGGCTATGACCTGCAGGCAGTATTATATAAAGGAGGGCAAGGTCCTAGGGCACCTACTGTACACTCTTGTATGGCCAGGGCGGCGGTTCGGATGTCATGCTTCCCACGAATCCATCGAAGTTGGCCATCTTTCATCTACAAGGTGGTTGGCCATCTTTCATCTACAAGGTGTCGGGCCAACTCATCATCGATAATCACCTCCACTAGAGTAGAGTGCATTTGCCGACACAGGCCTTATATAAATTTGCCCATATTCACTGCCCGTCTCACGATGCATATTTAGTCGTGTGAAAAGCATCCGTCTCGGAGTGATCCGCCAGCATCTCTGCGTGCGAGTGGCACAACATGCCAGCGGTACCGTGCCTCACAGACTCAAGTTGAGCATGTACAGTAAGTTACTTCGTACAGTGCTGCATCACCCGAAGTGGAGATGCGAGCTGTCAGACAGTTTAACGCCAGGACACTCTTGCCATCATCACACTGCATGACCCAATCATATGCCGGTGGGAGTGCGTTGTAGATCGCACGCAAAGGTAGAGACAAATGACAATGCGTTGGCCCCCCCGGAGTGCAACATGGGGGCCCAGCCACAATTTAGTCGCGTCATACTCGGCCCATGTCTTGCCGTTTCACGGCCAACAGATTCAGCGTCAGCTCATGTGTTGGCTGGGCATGAGCGAGCAGAGACTTCCTCTCGAGAAACTGCAAAGGACCAAGACACCGCTTGAGCAATAGAACAGGCTTCGAACTCACCAACTCTCCCCCCTCTCAACCCCCTGGGTGCATACATAATGGCGACGGAATTTGACGTCACGCCTGAGAAGCAGTCAAGCATGCTCCATTTCTGGCATGAACAGATCACCTTCAAGCCTGTGGAAGTACGCGATGTCAGTCTGCAAGGAAAGACGGCTATCGTGACCGGTGCAAATACCGGAGTCGGATTCCAGACTTGCCGGCAGCTCCTTGACCTGGGACTCAGCAAGCTTGTTCTTGGCGTGCGAAACGAGCAAAAGGGCAGGGACGCCGCCGCCAAGCTGTCTCTGGGCCGGGATCTTGCCAAGGACGCCATCGAGGTTTGGCTACTGGACCACTCTTCGTACGAGTCGGTCATCGCCTTTGCCGAACGAACTAGGAGCCTTGAGCGCTTGGATTTGATGAATCTCAACGTCGGTTTCGCTCCCACAAAGCGCGTCTTTAACGAGAACACGGGCCACGATGAGGTCATTCAGGTCAACTACCTATCAAATGCATTACTGGCGATCCTACTGCTCCCGGTCGCCAAGGAGAAGCGGGCAAACCAATCACAGCCGAGTCGCATTACCTTGACGTCCTCCGAGGTCTCGGGTTGGACGAAGTTTAAGGAGAGAACCACACCGGGGCCTTTGCTCGCTACCCTCGACAAGAAAGAGGGCGAAGTGAGCATGGCGGACCGCATGTTTGTGTCAAAACTACTCGGCCAGTTCTTTCTCGCCAAGCTCGCAGCCGAGGTTGCACCCTCCGTCGCTATCATCAATGGGGCTTCGCCAGGAGCTTGCCATGACACCGAATTTAATCGTGACTTCGACAAGACGTTTCTAGGCGCAATCTATAAGACGTTTCTGAAGCGCGCTGCCAATTCGTCTGCTATCGGTGCCCGTATGATGACGGATGCCATTGTGCACCATGGCGAGGAAACCCATGGACAATTCCTCTCATTTCAAAAAATCGTGCCGTAAGTGTCTCAACATCTCCCGTTTGTTGTTCTGGACGTTCGAGAGTGATGGCTAATCAGAAACTTTACAGAATGTCCCCCTTCCTCTATACAGAGGAAGGGAAGAAAATCTCGGAGCAGCTGTGGAAGGAGACGATGGCTGAGCTCTCCTTTGCCAGGGTTGAGGATATTCTGAAGACGCTGAAAGAGTGAGAACTGGAACGAGGCGGCACTGCTTGTGCTTGCAGCCTGTACGTCTAAACGAGTGTGGAATAATGCGCCAGGTCCGATCATGATAGAGAAAACTGGCTGTTTCCCCATCATGTAGCAATCTGCCATGGATGTCAACAAGCTAGGCTGTCTTTGAACGATCTGCGAATCGCCTCTGAAAGATACATGATTCCATTTCCTCACAAGCCAACTCCCAGTCGGTTGAAAATTTGTGATAGAAAGGCTGATATCCAAGTAAGCCTCCCAGCCACCTGCCTATGACGATGCCCGCGAGCTGGGATAGTGTGCGGCCAAAGGGTAGCCATGCTGGTGGTGCGAGATACGTCCCCCCTGCATCAAATGTCTGCAATGGTGAGCTGTCATCTGCACACGGCGTTTTGAGGGACTCACACTCAGGATTTGTACGAGATCGAATTTCCCATTGTTCAGTAGCACCTCCTCCTGGTACTTGTACCAGTTCTCAAAGAACAAGGTGTTGAGCTTGAATGCTTGCTGAGAGACTCTATCGGCCGAGAGCAGAAATCTGACGACGTGGCCGTCTTGCTCCGGTTCGAGAGGGTAGGTAGAGTGGTTTTCCCATGCCTTTACGGTGAAAGGGGGACTGTCCTTGGTGAGTGTATATTGGCGTCCTCCGCACTCGACGATTGCTTTCCCCTCGATGACCTGAATATATTCATCTTGGCTCACATGAAAGTGAGACGGAGGCTTTCGATTGAAAAACTTTTCACCCTTGACAAGATCGAGGGTGACTTGGAAAGCAAACTCTCGCTCCGGGTGATGGATCACCCTAGTGCTGACAGCCCCATTCAGACTTGGTGAAGTCAGCTGCTGCCAAGCCCGCAGAATGCTCCTGTGGCAGATGCAGAGAAATGACTGACAAGGTGATGATCTGGTCGTAATCCGAGAACTCCATGTTTGTGGCCACCGCTGTTGTAGCAACCACGGGCCGATCCCAATCGACTGTTGTGGCGTTTGCTGTCAGGCGAAACCCTGCCAGTGCTGATAGATGGCTGGACCGAGAGGGAGCTGCTTGTTCACATACACAGCGACAAGGTCGAGGCTTCGATTCTGGTAAAACATGCGTTGGCAAGCGGGGCTCGGCTGCAAGTAGGACTTTAATAGCCGTGATTGGGACCAGACATCCTGTGAGAAACACAGCCTGGACGGTCCTCCTCTGACCCTCATGCATTAGTGGAAGCGTAACGTGGTACTTGTATTCCCACCTGCAATGCGGAAAAAGCAGTCTCTGCCTTGGGCATAGCAAGCGGCGACGGATCCGGGATAACTGTGATGAAAGCAACTTATTCATTAACTTGATATAGCCGATTCACGCCACGAGAGCTTAATCCTGCATCATGTATTCCGATACTAGGCCACATGCAATCGACAGACCAACGTACCAAAACCCGATTGAGAACCACCACCAGCAGCTCGCTCCATTCTGAAGCTCGACCTTGGCAATCATGGTGCCGAGGGAGAACAGGGAGCCGGCAACCGCGATGGAATAAAACAAGACTCCCATCTCCGCCAACCTTGCGTACGAAACAAGAGCAGCGCTCATCAGAAACAGAAGAAACCAGAGCACGAGTTTGGCCCGGACTTGAGTCTTGAGCAGCACAGCGATGGACTTGACTCCAACTCGTACGTCATCTTTGAGGTCCTGATATGCATAGATCGTGTCGTAGATGATTGTCCACAAGACCGAGGCGACGACCAGACAAAGAGTAGCTGCGTCCGTCCACGGCCTCTCGAGACCTGCTGCTGCGCTGCCAACTATGATCCCCCACGCAAGACAAAAGCCGAGGACCAACTGGGGAAAGTAGGTGTGTAGTTTTGCCCAGGGGTAGTACACAGTCCCTATGATGGTCGGAATCGTCGCAATTCCGGTCTCAGGTCTGAGGACCAGGAGGAAGGTGGCAGCCCCGGCTGCCTGCGAAATAGTGAAAAGAAATGCAGCTCTGCGCGAAATGGCACCTCTCGCGATGGGCCGGTTTTTCGACCGAACCACTTGCTTGTCGATAGGCGCATCGATAAGGTCGTTCCAGGAGTGGGCAGCGTTGGAGAAGAAGAAGCTGCCGCCGAAAAGCAGGGCTCCTGTGCGCACGAGGTCGGAAACCAAGGTCCCTTGGGGCAGCCTGTGTGCCGCGTGCAGGACACCAAACAAGTGAGGGAAGTAGATCAGGAAGAGTGCGGCCGGCGGGCTGAGACGTGCGAGCTGAATGAAAGGAATCCATGATGTAGGGAGACGCTCGATCCAGCCATGAATGTGAGAACCCCCATATTGCTTGGAAAGGGCATCATCGGCCTTGCTGCTGCCAGTGGATGTCATGGGAGAAGATGCCTTCGTCGATATTTCGACTGGGTCGAAACAAAACCTTGACGTCTACCCGGTGTAAATATAAAAGAAACTGACTGCAGTCAACAACATGAAAATGAATGGCGCCATAATTAGATTATGTTCTTCTGTAGTGATCAGGCATAACCGAATCGGACAGACTCGGGGTGAGTTATCGAGGTCGATGCCTGGCTGGAGAGACCCTTGAACGTAAGACTCGATCTAGCCTGACGGCGCCGTGTATCTAACGATTTTCTTCCTACAAAAAGTCCTTGGAATACCTACCTAGGTGTGCTGGGTAAGCAGGGGCTTCGGAACGAATGACGAAGCACCAATTCCACGTCTCATGGCACAGTACGACTCATATGTTGCAGGGTATTTATATAATGGGCAAGGTAATAAGACGTCAATGAAAACTCGCATTAGGCTACAAGTACCCTAAATATTGTCATCTTACCAGAAGGGGGTACACAGAGTTTTATACCTACTGGGTGTTCGCCGCAAGAATGCCTTGGAACAAGTCGATTTCTTTAGGCTTGTGAGCAGTATTAATGTATGATGGGAAGCTTGAACTGTCAAAGAGTATGAGAAACGCGAATTTTAGAAACACTACAAATTCAAGCAAAAATAAGTGCGATTAGAGGTAGGGGTTTCTTGCTTGCCTTCGGCGTCTTCTCCCCTTGCCGCATCTGCCGTGCTTACTTTCTACGGTCTCGTATTTCAGTTCCCGTTATTGACCTAAACAGGGTGATCCCAAGCATTATAGTAGTCCGTTGACTGTTCCACACACATCCAGGCAGACTCCTTTACTACTCCGTTCTCCAGAAACGGCTGCTGTACCAAGCTGTGGCCGCGACGGACTAGAGGATAATCCCACAATCCCTTTATCGGACTACGTCATGGTAGGCTGCCTGTTCAGTTCCTGATGTCGACGGTTGCCTGCGGTATGGTGGCATTTGATAAGATGCGCCTTGTCCCCCACTATCCTTGTGCCCACTGATTTTTGAGGACGAACCAAGTAGTTGGAAGAAGCGCCTCCATAACGGATGGAGGGCGGGCATAGATCCAAATACGATGATGAACATGGTCTCAATGCCGTCTAATCCAAGCCTTTCAAGTCAGCTATCCAGGCGACCAAATGGAGACAAGAGATTGAGGTGAGACGGGGCACGTGGACTTGTGCGAATGGGTGGACGAAACCTCTCACGAGGGTAAGCCTGCCTTTGCCGGTTTGCTGGGGAAAGAAAGGGAAGCGCGGGTTTGGGCACGTACACCAAATGAGGCTATCATAGATGCCCCCAGTAATGTCATTCATATCCAGGAGGCTGACGTGAACCATTTTCACGGTTCCTGCCACGCCGGTGATGATGGTTAGCCCCAGCAGAACGATGACCATGATCCTCCTCCGCAAGGGCATTCGTAAACCCCATATGACGGCCATGGGGAGAACGGAGAGGAAGTAATCGGCAAAGACCAGAATGGCGTTGGTGCCGTCGTTGAAAGGGTTAGTCTTGGATCGGGGCAGGCAAGTAGCCGTTGCAGCGAGTTCGTAGTCCCATTGTGCGCGCGGATTACCGCACCGGAAGAGGCTGAGGAAGATGTCGGTAACGGAGAAGAGGGTCATGAGGCCCAGGAGGACCAATATCGCATATCGCTTCCATGGGGATGTATTGCCTATGATGCGTAGGATGGTTATGCCTATGGCGACTTTCCCAAGCCAGGTGGTGGCGATGGCAATGGCGAGAAAGATGACCACCAGTTGGAGCTGATATTGCTGGGTTTCTATACTCAAATCCTGAAAATGCAGAGTCATGCCATCCTGGGCGCCGAGCTGAACTGCACAACCCAGTCAGATGGAACAGAGGGACTTGTTGGAAACACCAGACAAACATACTGATGACACCACTAGCAAGGAATAAAACCTAGTGTGAAAAGAGTCAACTCGATGCCGCAGGGAAATGCCCGTGAACACGCACCCAGGACGTCAGCATCAGGCCGTCGTCGAGACCGATGCCCCGCGGGTAGAAGCGGGCCCAGAAACGCAGAACGACGAAGACAAAGGCAATCACAATCTGGGTCCATATTGCGGCTTCCAGTGCAGGCCCCCGATCGACTGGCGCGGAAGAAGACATTTCTGGAAGAAAAGGACGTTACAGGCAGGCGGCCCGGGCTTGCCCAAGACGCAGTAATGCGCCTGACCGGGCGGGAGCAGGCGTCGGGAGGCCGCAAATGATTATTCAGTCTGATAGTTTGTGTTGATAACTTGATATAAGGTCGCAAGGAACGTTGGATGGCAGGCGGAGTTCGACGCTCCAGATTACCGCCGTTTCGACGACCGTGTAATTAGCCGTGCCCCAGATGCACTCTCACCTTTAACCACCCAAATGACCCCCATGTTACAGTGGCTCGAGAGGATGACTGCATGCATCGGACCGAGAGGCGTACGTCGTACGTGTCTGTAGTGCCATCACTGCTGAGGCTATGCATACACACATGATGGATGCTGAGAGACAGTTACACAGTGTGAGCCAAACCGACATGAAGGCTGCACAGGTATCCTCATTGATCCAATGAGACATGTTCGTTCATACCTTACTGTACCCCGTACCTCTCTTCCGTTTCTTCTCGGAGTGTCTTAGCCATGCAGAGGTGCTTGTTCAGGGCTAGTTTGCCTTGGCAGGGCGAATCCTTCCGTCCCAGCTCAGGCCGCTGGAGCATCCGGGACGGAGAGGCCCGTCGTCAGATCTCAGGCTCCGTATTCCAAAAATATGAACCAGTGGACTTAAATGAAGAAATAGGGCCCCTATGGTCAGACCGGGTGCGGCGGTGCTTCCTCGACCAATAGCCCTCGGCCCAAGTTGTCTCTGTTTTCCGCCCTCTTCTTACGGCCATGGTTGGACTAGGCTTGCGTGCAGCTGTATGGAGCTCCCTGTTGCTCAACGTCTGGCCCAGTTTCATCCTCAGCAGTGACACTGCCGCTCTGAATGCGACCATCCAAGCTACATGTCAGCAGCTGCGGAGTGATCTCGGTGCTGGCATCATCACCCTGCCCTCCGATGCCAATTACACCCGTCTGGTGCGTGAGCCCTGGTCAGCAACTACCCGTTGATCTTGGTGTGGGGCCACAGCAGCCCAACTAAGTGTCTTCGCCACTTAGTTGGCCCAAAAAATCCGGCACAGCCCAAAAAATCCGGCACAGCAGGGTCCTCAATTTGGGGTGCAAAATCAAGGAAATTCTACGCTTCGCTTCATGGTGCCGTCAATGCGACTTCAAATAGCTAAAATATACATGTGATCAATAGCTGCGGATCACCTAAAGACGCAAGTAACAACGAAAAGTGAAAAAATCACGTCTTTGGGCCTATTTAGGAGCTGCCGCCTTCCAGTCGAAGAGATAGGAAGACCGCGTTTGTGAGTCCAAATAGACGTATTATGTAGTAATTTCGCCTGTTGTGCGTCTCTGAGAGCTATTTTATCCATACCTGTGTTCCTGGAGCGTCTGCTGTATCTTGTTGGACGATCGGGTGCGCGGTCGAGGGCATGGTGTATCGACTACCGCTTCAACCGCTGCTAACGGCGGCGATGAGGGTATATTCTCTTGCGTGTCGAGTAAATTGTCCTCGTCTTCATCGTCGGCGCCATCCTCACTATGTTTGTCAAGATCGAGGCCTGTGAAATAGACGGTATCGTCACTGCCGGGCAACGACGACATATCTGTAAGTGGGCGAGGTCGGGTCGCTGCGCGCCCTGACATCTCTGGCGGAGTTATTTCTCTTCGTGGTATCATAGAAAAGGATTCCTTGGATGGCTCTTTGAGCTCCCGCATGAGGGTATCGCAACTTTGCTCCAGAGTGTAGAACTCAACGTCTCGTCCCGTAAACTCTAGCCAGGGCTTAAAGTTCAATGTCTTGACTCTGCCATTGACTAACTGCTTCTTCCCGACTTTATAGTCTTCGGATCTTCTGCATCTCTCCACGAACTCGTTTAAGATGCATCCTTATCTCCTGGCGCGTTTGAAGCCGGGTTTGCTTTGCCTGGAGCTCCTCATACTCCCGGGTGATGTCGGCCATGCTGGAGCTCGTGATAAACTCTCCGCGCGGCCTGACAATCTTGCCTCTCTTCATTCGATTCGCATACGCCTGGGTTCGGCTATTCTTATCGCTGACTATGCCCTGGGAATGTGACGCCATCGCGATAGACTCGGTGTTCACTTTCGCAAGAACCCGCAAGTTTTCTCGTGATGGCGAGCTCATGAGGGGCCCATACCGTTGCCGGATATCATTGAGGGCATCCGCGGCGACTTGGAAACGCGTCTCCGAGGGTAGGAGCGAGGCGTATGCAGGATTGATCGGCTGCTGTTGTCGTAGCTGCTCGTGGAGGATCTTGGTGATCACCGGCGCTGGGTCGACAGGAAAGAGGCCTGTTTTTCAAATGCCGCCATAATGTTATGGCGCGTGAAGCCAGCCTCATATACGTCCTGAAAAGCTGTGAGGAAGTTGACCCGCGAAAATGATATGTTGCCTTCTGCGAGCGACTTCGAAGCGCTTTCTGATGTGCTGACTTTAGTGGCTGGAATACCCCAACATCAAGCGGCTGCATGAGGTGGGTGGAATGTGGAGGAAAATAGCAATGATGATATCAAACTTGATACAATACTCAGCAAAGTCAAGGGTGGTATGCCCTGTAAAGCCATCCACAACAAGCAATCGGTAGATCTTCTCGTCGTCAGGCCGTTGGTTTGGCGGCGCCTCCACGCGACTCATCCCCATGTTGGGGCGCCGAAGATGCTCGTCACAGCCGAACCACTCTTCCAGCGAATTTCCTGACTGTTTTGCTTGCGCTGACGATGCCCAAGACCAGCAGTTGAAATGCCTTGCCCACTCAAGGTGTATCTCTGCGTTGGAAAAGCCAGTTGGCGACTGGGCAAACCGTACGCCTGTCATGATGTCGATGCCGGCCCAGTTGGTGGTAGGGTAATGTTGGAAAACAAGCCAGGGTGGAAGAGAGTCCCCCACTGCGTTAACTGAGGCAATTACCGTGCAGGATTCTCGGTTTGCTGGGTCTAAAACTCGGGGCCGGGTGCTCTTGACTCTAGTGGTGCGCGTGATGAGAACTTGGATGCGTTCTCGCAGGCACCCAATGCGTATTCCGGCCTCGTCTTCATTCCAGATCTCTGAACTGCCAATACGGTAGCTGGTGATGATTTCTCGAAGCTTTGAGTAGAAAAATTCGACTTCTTCTACCCCGTGGGCTTCAAAGGACTTCCGGGCTCGTTCAACTGCTTTGAGATACGTCTTCGCGATCGCAGGATGACTTCCACGCCAATTGTCAAGCCAACTTGACGAGACCGGGCGGGCATTGGGATCTCGACGCATTCTTATTGCATTTGCAACAGCTTCAAGTTGCTCTCGTGGCGGGCATGCCGGTGCGTTCCATCCACTGTACATACGCAACAAGGGCGTCGTCTTCGTCCTCCGTCAGCGCCAATGGACGCCCTGGAGCACGGAAAAGGGGTTTCTTATGAAATTAATGGCTCTCTTTACGGATGAGCTCTTCACATTGTAACGGATGGCCGCATCTCGCACGGAAAGAGGCGTTCTTTTGGTGTTGTTGAGCGACGAACATCGGCTCTGGGGTCGCGACGAGACGCCAGAACGGCTTTTGCTGCCTCCAGGGTAGCCATGTTATCTGTCATAATGTATTCCGGCAAAAAGATACGTAAATAAAGTCAAGTTGCGCGAGAAAACGCGGTTGAGATGCATAGGGTTGACGTTTTGGAGGTGGGCTGCTGTGCCGGATTTTTTGGGCTGTGCCGGATTTTTTGGGCCAACTAAGTGGCGAAGACACTTAGTTGGGCTGCTGTGGCCCCACACCAAGATCAACGGGTACCTGGAAAGACGCTTTCTGTGTAGCAACACCGCAGAGCACCTCGGACACGCAGAAGCTCGTTAGTGTTTTAGTTGCAAACGATGTTCCCTTTGCCGTCCGCTCAGGAGGCCATTCTCCTAATCCATACGATGCGAACATCAACATTGGAGTTGTTATTGCAACGGACAACCTCAGCCACGTCAAGTACGACACAGCTACAGGCCTTGCTACATTTGGTCCGGGGCTCCGATGGGATGCAGTCTACTCCGCTCTGGACCCGTACAACGTGAGCCTTGTCGGCGGCCGTGTCATGGAAGTCGGCGTAGGTGGTCTCATGCTCGGGGGTGGTCTCTCCTACTTGTCCGACTTGTATGGACTAGCGTGCGACAACGTAGTCAGCTTTGCGGTGAGATTTCGATGTTCCCTGCGACAATACTCGAGCTTCAAGCGCTAAGATATCATCCTGCATAGGTGGTCTTGGCGAACGGGAGCGCTGTTCAAGCTACATACAGTCAACACCCTGAACTATTCTGGGCTCTCAAAGGCGGCTCAAACAATTTCGGTAGGCAGTACCGGTGCCCAACATCCGTCATGATAAGAGGCTGATTCAAAGCACTTCAAGGCATCGTCACCGAGTTCACAGCCAAGACATTTCCCATCTCCCAGGCTTGGGGCGGTATGCAAGTGTTTTCCCTCGACCACGCATCGGATGTGCTTGGGGCTCTGTATGAGTACCAAGAAGCCGAAAACAAGGACCTCTATGCCAACTGCATCATCAACGTCCTGCCGATCAATTCCACTCTCTTTCTGACTTTGATCTACCTGAAGCCCGTGGAGAAGCCCAAAGCCTTCGCGCCATTCTACGATTTGACGCCCTTGCTTGACAAAACGGGATTCTACACTTTGCACGAGCTTATGGCCATGTTTCCCGTCGGCAACGTTCCCAGGTGGACATGGTACGAAAACAGCTTGGAACCGAACAAGGGCCTCTACAAGGACATCGGCCGTGCCTTGACGGCCACCAACGATTCTGATATAAAACGGATAGCAGGATTCCCGTCTGGGACACTGGTCGCCGCTTTGCAGCCCATTGACAAGAACGTCGCCTTGGCCGGTGAGGAGCGAGGCGGTAATCCCCTGGGAATAGAAGCCAAAAACCAGTTATGGTTCTCGGTGAATGTAGGCTGGGACGGCCAAGAACACGACGCTGCGGCGTCCGCCGCTATTGAGTCCCTCAATTTCAAGATGGAGAGCTTGATTAAGGAAGCTGACGCTGGTGTGGACTATGTGTTCATGAATGACGCTAATTCCAAGCAAGCAGTGATCAAGTCATACGGCGGAAAGAACGTGCAACGTCTGCGGGATATACAGAGGGTTTATGATCCGGATCAGGTCTTCCAGAAGTTGGTTCGAGGAGGTCAGAAAATACCTTTCTCCAAGAATTCAGGGAGAGGAAAGGGGTTGGAGCCGAGGCGTACACGAACAGCGAGCATATACCTGTAACATAATGATACTGTCAAGTTGAAAAAAATACCGCTACACTAGAAGAAAAAGGGGCACACCCTGTGGACGAGTTATTAACGCGTATTACCAGACTCTTTCCGTTGTGACAGCTACATGTACGGCCGAATAAAGCTCCATGGCTTCCAGTGCCTTCATGAAGTCTCGCCGAGTGCAGTCGCCACCTAATGTACGCAGGGCGATGGAGAACGACTTCCCCTCTGTTGAATAAAACAATCATTCCATTCCACGTTAAGGCACAGGCGAGGAGGCCTTTCCCAATAGGCACAACGGCACGAAGGTCAGTATTTTCTCAACGTACTAAACACCCGTACCAATGCCTGGTAAAGGGGAGAAGAGAAATATGGCATTCACTTAGTGGTGGATATAAATGTGAAAGACGGAATTTTGGTGCCCGACAGGGGTCTGAATGAGGAAATCTTCCAAGGCATTAACGGAATATTCTCATCGCCCGAGGAGCTTTGGTCCCGTGCTTGCATCGCGGCGGTGTGGAAGACTGGGAATTTTTCGTGCAATGAACCGGAACGCGGAGCAAGTCCATCATACGCGTTAATGCGCTGAACAAGGCTGCTGCTTTACGTATCTTAAACCTAGCACGCATGCCCATGGTGCTTCTGAATAATCTCTCTCTTCTCAGAAAAGGCTATGTCCGAACTCAAGGCCAGTACCATCGCTCGACGGAATCGCCGTCCTAGTGACGAGGGCCTTTAGTCCTTGCCAACCCCTTTTATCAAGAGCACACGGCAGACACCTAGTCATGAATTGCGACGGCTGCTTTCTCCGCTAGCTCGACTTATAGCTGAGCCGTCTTTATAGCTCCAGTTCACTCGCGGCGTCTGCGCAGCCCATTGTATCTGGTCTCATTCTGAGCATCTCGCACGACCTCAGCAAAACGCACTTCTCGTCTCCGGGCCCCGCATATCGGTCGTGTTCCAGCCAAGAGTGGTCCCACCTTCAATCCTCACAATATGTGCCGGGGGAGACTTGAGGGTCTGCGAAAGCCATCTGTAAGGCGGCATGCCAGGTTAAACGAAGTAGGTTTTGCGCAGCCCGCAGAGCTTCGCTCAGTTTTTCAGGAAAGAACTCACGGGGCCGGTGGAATCTAGATCTGTGTACGAGGCGTTGAGCCTTGGCGGTACGACCATGTCGGTGTTTGGCCTATTGGAAGGCATAGTAAGGAGGGAATCCATAAGAGGCATTGTTCGATATGCCGGTAGATACGATGGGACTCGGGTCGCGGAATAATGCATCATAAAGAGGGGAAGAGGCTGTTTAATAATATGTAACCTTGGGTCGTTAATGTTGGGAGACAGTACGTCCATGCATTGTTCCATCTTTGGATCGCGCAGACGAGGCTTCTGAATTCGAATGCTACCAGACAAGATCCTTTTGGTCGTTAGTAGGGAACGACAGACCTTACGTTTCCGAGAATCAGTTGCACAACTCAGCAACAACAATGCTGCCCAGGCCATGCACAGTAAGCGGGACGGCATTGAGCGCACATTGAGCAAAGACTGTGAAATGCCCTGAAACAACAGCCACAGCGTCTTAAAGAAAATTGGCTCCGTGGTCAGACTGGAGATCTGGTAAAGCTGGTATGACTATAGTTAAAGACCATGCTGAATTAAATGCCTGCAGCATTCGGTTCTAGAAGCGCCCCTTAACTGGGCTTTGCATTCAGCTTTGATTTTCAGGCTGCCAGCTAGTAACGTCTTTGCTTGACGGAGACAGCCCAAGATGATGCTGGCGAAGCGTTTCTTGGTCTGTTTATGTCCCTGTTTGCTTCACGCTGAGACTCAGTCTTGGCATCTTTGTATCCATTTCCACACGTCATGGCGATAAGGACGCGAACTCCCCCAAGAACGTAAACGTCGCCAACCGAGGGCACTTTAAAAAGGTCGGATCCCTTAAAAGACATTGCCCATGGAGCACAAGAGCGTGTCGACATCGTTGTTTCCACCGCGGGAGAGGCCCTCCGCTGCTTGCACGTCACCCACGATGAGGATCAACGCTATCCCAACATTGGCCATCGTGTCCTTGTATTAAAGTGGCTCGCCGATGACGAGAGCAGTCCACCAATTTAAGCGGCCTGAGCCCTGGGGCTGAATCTACCGGGCCAGTACTACCAGCGGTCTTGAAGGTTTAGAATACAACTTTAGTTAGCTACGTTGAGGAACTAGATTTTACAGATAACTGCGTTTCAGAAGCTACAACCCGGAAGAGAAGCCAGTGGTCATAAACAGCGGCCGTTGAGCCAGGACGCTAACGTCGCGCCGGGGCGCTAATGTGACCCAAACACTTGACATATCCATCGTCCTGAACCGTCATCAAGTCATCCAGCTTGATGGATGCGTCCTTGGCAAACGGATCCTTGTCGTTCCTGCAGACGCACCATAGCTTAGAGTGATCGCCCGAGCCCTCGGGGTTGAAGAAGCAGCCATGACAATCCTTTTGGAATTGTCCCCTGTGCGTCGTGGATCAGCTTTACGAGCCCCAGGGGGAGGGGGAGGAAAGCGTACTTGTCCGCGGGAATCAAGGCTCCGTTATCGTAACGCAGACAAAGATCCAAAGCCTCCTGGGTCCTCTTCTCGTTGCCGGCCTTGTCCTTGCAGGTACCGACGAGGAGGCGATCTTCCTTGATTTCCCACTATGCTGCTGTCAGCAATCGACTAGAACAAGAGAGTTGGGCGGGCGTGCACAACATACATCTTTGCACCGTTGGGTGTAGTTGGCACCGCCATGGCCACTTGTGACAAAGTCTCTGTTGTTGGCCATGGCGGCAAAGAGGAGCGTCTTGTGCTCAGCATAGGCCGTGCCCTTGGGATGAAATGACCGTAATAAGTTGAAGGGCGCGCCCATGGCAGTCACGGGGTCTTCTTGAGCCTTGCGGACCGCGAGCTGCAGGTCTTGCAAGCTCGGGAACTTGCTGGCGCCCTCCCATTCCCACGGGGGCGACGACTCCAATGCCTGGGCGGTGCTGTGATTTTTGCCGGGGAAGACAAAGTCGAGGAGCTGCTGGGCGGGGCTCGCGTTGCCGGACGAGTAAGCATTGTGAGGGTCGCCAGGGCCTTCCGAGGGCGTGTTGACGTGGGCATACGAGGACCAGAACCACGTGTCGTAGTCGACCATTTCCTGGTTAGTGTGGCCCGGCTCGCAGTAACGATGGCCTTTGTACGCGTCCTCGAGGCCGTCAACAAAGATGACGCCCATTGGCTCCAGCTCCTTGGCGGCGGCCTTGATGAGTTCGTTGACCTTTGTGGTCAGGCCATTAAGCTGCCGTCGGAGCTGCGTGGTGAGCTTGGGTTCGCTCCAGGACCAGTAGTTCCACGATATCTCGTCGCATTCCGGGTTGACGTCGTTGAAAAAGGTGACGTAGCTCAGGACGTAGACTTGGAAGCCCTCTCGCGGGTTGGCGCCTCCGGCCTGTCGTCCCGCGTGGGCCACCTCGTACAAGGCGTAGTTGATCTTGTCGCGAAGAGAGCCGTCGTCAATGTCCTTTTGGAGGGCCCCCAGCGTGGTTTGACAGTCCTTTGGAAACCAGCCTCGGTAGATGCAAGCGTTCAAGATGCTATGTTTGGGCGCCAACGTTAACAATCGGCCTACAAGACAAGATGGCACGGGGTAAAGGGGATGGGGAGAGACGCACTCGGACAGCATGGCATCGTTGCCTCCAATGGTGACGAAGGCAACCTGGGGCTTCCCAAAAGGCTGGCCACGGGGCAGTTCCTGGTTATTCTCCTTGTAATCCCCCTGCTTCAGCTGCTCGCTGACGAGCTGGACTGAGGTATCACCAGTGTAGGCCGGGAAGCTGAAGCGCGGGAGCGCCTCGTCGCCGTTGATAAAGGCCCAACTGTCCTTGTCGGTGGACATTTGCATCGGGTAGGATCGCTTACCCCGGACGGCGTCCCCGGCCAAGATTTCGTTGTTGCCGTTGCATCCGGTGCCGGCCGTATAGGAGTCACCGACGGCAATGAACTCTTCGACCCGCTGGGCTGGCCGCGAGTAGGGGGCAAAGCTGGGCGAGCTCAGCTCGGCAGAGATGGAGCGGGCTGCTGCGCCAAAGTCGAAGCCAGGAGAAATGTCCGGACTCGACCTGGAGGCGACGGCGGCAAGGCCTATCAGGAGTAATAAGACTCTGAGCAACATGCTGGGGTAAAACGAATGATTTGATATTAACAATGGAAGCTCAGTGAGTGAAAGCTGGTTATGACGAGACGACTGGAGTAAACAGGCACAAAGACGGAGACTTTAAATGACAACTCGCCCGTCTTTACCAGGAGGTTGAGCTGCATCCGCCGTCTTCCTCTTCATCTCCGAGGCTGGGGGCTCTGTGTTTCCGACGCATCGTTGGACACCATGTGAGGATGGCGACGGCCTAGGTGGACCCGGAGCCATGCAGTTGGGCTGACGACCGTGAGTAAGTTGCAGACGCGCTTCCCCTTAATATCAGTCAACCTGAGTGTGGCTTACTCGGATCCTAGAGGAGGGAAGGATGGCGAGGGCTCGTGGGGGCGGGATGAGCCCCCTCTCCCCACCCGCACCCGTGATTCTGTTCTAAGTTTTCATCTCGACCTGGGGTTCGTCGCCAACTCCTCATTTGATCCTCAACGCACCCACGCTATCTCTCTTCAAGGAAATTCATTCATGATGAGACCCCTTGTCTTGCAGATACTGACTCTAGCCGCCCCCCTAGCCGAATCCCGTTCCATCGTCCAACTACAGCAACCTCTAGCAATCATGGCCGAGCCGGTCAAGGTTCCGGGGCATAACAATGCCACCTACGGCCCGGTGCCCAAGAAAGACCAGCTGCTCCACGTCGAGTTCGTCGAGATGGCCCCGTCGCCCGTCCCCGTGTACGATCCACCACCCCTTGGACAGCATAAGCCGACGGCTGGGCTAACATGGTCGTCAGCGATCAAATCTTCTTCCTTTACCTGCGCGGCGTCATGCCTCCATCCGACAAGGACCTCGGCACGGCAAAGTTGAGCATCACCCTCTCCGTCGTCTTGCCGGACGGCCAGCACGAGGACCCCAAGACGTACACGGTGCCCCTTTGCACTACCGCCTTTGGCGACGCCGCCCACCTTTCCATCCGCAATGCCACGGGCGCATACGTGGACCATCTTGGCGGCGGGACCAACGACATCCTCGTCGATTGCGCCATCCCGAGCGTCTTCCTGCAGACAGGCACCTGGACCTTTGAGACCGTGGCGAGCCTAGACGATGGAACGTGTTTGTTTGCAATGTCGCTTACGCAATGGTTGGAGGGGCGGCTCAATCATTGAACCGTGACTTCGAAGTTCAGGGGTCTGGACTAGTCGTAGCAGGCTGAAGGGGAGAGAGGTCTTGAGGGTTTCGGTCACGCATTGTGGTGCGCTCGAGGGAGAGCGAGTTGCAAGCCCGGGAGAGGAGGACACCACACAACTGCCTTGATAGTTGATATGAGACGACGAGACTGCAGTCGCATAAGATCTGGCGAGAGAATCAAGCAAATGGCTGAGCGATGGAGAGGCAGGGAGCCAGTGGGACAGGCCAGAGCAAAGTTTATGCGCTGGGCGATACATCGTTGCAGTATAATTCCAAATTCTACCCATGGCGATATTTACGGGCGGTGGAAGAAAGGTCAGCCACGATGGTGGAGAGATTATGATTATTCATTGCTATAATAGTCTACTTACTTGGCCCAACACCCTTTGCTATAAAGGTTATAAGTATATATAAAAAAGGGGAATAAAATTAACTAAGCGATAGCGTTATTAATTATCTATATATAAAAAGGTTTAGTTGAGTAACTAAATAACTAACTAAGGGCTAGCCCTTTATGGGCAGTAAGGCAAAATGCGGCAGTAGGATAAGGAAAGCTACGTCAAGAGAGTATAAGAGGTAGCAAGAAGCAAAACGCCATAGCAAGATATAGGTAAAGGTAGGTAAAGGTAAGTACTAAATAGAGTCGCTCTTTTTTCCTGCCGCTATTTTCTCTTTTCTACCATTTTGCCTACCTCTCTGCCTACCCATCTGCCTGCCTCTTATCTCCTGCATCTATATATGCGATTTGCCCTAAATTGGGTGTTAGGCTATTGGCCATTTGCCTAAATTGAGTTTTGGCCCTTTTTGCTTGCCTTGTCTAATGTGCCGCTATAGTCCCCCCTTGAAACAGTTAAATTGCAGGCATATAATGCTCACCCTTCGGGTTGGCTATTTAGCTATTAGGCCCTTGCTTTAACAAACTTAACCGGTGTTCGAAGTATTTCAGACCTTTCGCTCCTTAAGTCAAGGCAAGGCAAAGCATAACTAATTCTAACTGATTATATAAGGTTTTTAATAGACTATTTAGAGGCTAGGATTTGCCGTCAGAAACTCTTGTAAGAGGCACGTAATATAATTATTTTAGATCAAGTTCCTCAAGGCATTGCAGTCTATCTTTCGGTCTTGTGATTCTCTTCTCTTCCATTCACTCTAACGTCTTCCCTTGTGTCCTTTTTCTGATGCGGCACGGAAGCGGATGCGCAAGACCCCTGACGCCCAACCCATCCCTTTCCTTGTTGAACGACAGGGAGTTACTATAAAACTCGACGTCAAACTCGTTGGCCAGAAGAGCCCAGGTAAATATCATAAGAGACTTTGCAAAGACTCTGCCTGGACAGATGATGCGACCACCTGCAGAGAAGCGGGTTAGCGACGTAATATTACGAAGACTCATGTCGACTCCCACCTCCATATGGAAACCACGATCCTTCGAGACCGCGCGTCGAAATGAACGGCTTCCCGTCCTTGGACCTCACGGGATCCGGCAGGTTCATCGACTTTCTGCACTCGGAGCGAATGGGCCCGCTCGAGCTATCACCTGGGTCGACACAAAACCGCTCGGCCCAAAAGGTCTCGACGGGGTAGTTCCCATTCTTGGTATTCCAGAACTCGGTGTCCATGTGCGAGAGACCCGAGTTCAACACGCCAAGGGAGTTTTTAGGGAGAAGCCAGCGGCCTAGAGAAGCGTCCTCGTGGGGTGAAGTCACCGTAGCGTACACAATGATATATAGGCGCAGCGTCTCGGCGTACACCGAGGAAAGAAGCGGCTCCTTGGTCAGCTCCTTGATGTCCAATTCGGCAAACGAGCGAGACCCGAGGTGCTTGTCGACGGCATTGCGGATGCGAACGAGCAGCTCGGGGTCCTTGAAGATGTGGAAGGCCGACAAAGTAGCCGAAGGTATCGCATTCGCAACGGCACTGTCGTCGATTACTTGTCAGGACTGAAGTTGACACAAAACAACGGAAAGACTTACGCCCAAGCCAACCCGAGATCTAGCCTCGCCATAGCATCGTCGTCCTGCTTCTCCACCTGAAGTATGGTTTTCTGTCGGTCTCTCATCATGGCCGATCCCCAGACGGAGTCCCCGTCGGCGTCTTGTTCCAGCTTCGACTCGTCAGAATGCTGCCGGGCGTATTGGTACCAGCTCATGATCTGCTCGACCAGCCGCTGCCGATTCCTGTGTGCTCCGGGCATGACCCAGGACGGTAATCCTCTTGCAAACTTTGGCAATTTGGAGTCGAACCCCCACAGGCTATCGACGAAGCCTGGGTTGAGATCAAGCATCTTAGGTCCAAAGATTGCCTCGATGACGGACTCTCCGCCGAGACTCTTGAGGAGCTTGGCGAAGTCGTCCATCTCGGTCCAATCCTCTGTCACCTGCAGGTCGTGTATGCGCCGGGACACGCCCTTCATGTAGCTGTCCATAAGGGCATCCAACCCCGGGCCGCTTAGGCCGCGAGCCAGGCTGTCGTGTATGATGTAGTGAAGGCGATTGTGGGAGGCAATCTTGCTGTCAGGGTGAGGCTGTGGAAACGGGCCCGAGTCATCGATCCGCAGGGCCGACATTAACTGCTCTCGCGCCCCAAAGAGGAACTTCATGCTATACATGTACAAGAATATCGAGCTGGACAGGGACGGCTGTTTCCACAGCCTCTCGACTGTCTGGCGGTCTTGGAACACGTACGCGGTATATCCCATGATTGATACCCTCGCCGATGTCAGACTACCTGCGTACAATCTATTGGGGCGACTCACACGTTAGAATCTCAACAGCCTTGGCAAATCTCACCAAATGAAGAGCTTCGCGAACGTGGGCCAGCGCAACTTACGCTACCCGGCGGAGAGTACCGTGAGTATCCCACAATAGCGGCATTGCAGCTCCCACGAAAGGGAGGAGAGAAGGGTACTGCGGCGGCAGCTGTGCCTGCCCATGTTTGCAGTCTCTATGAACCTGGTGGTAGCGAAGCCAGGCAAATAAATAATGGCCCAGGACGAGCACTGCGACAACAAGTCCAGCAGCCGAGAGAGGCCGCGCCTGTGTGACGTGGGTGAAATAGGGGACCCATGCTGCGTCCTCTGGAAAGCTGGTCAAGACATCCATCGGGCCCAGGCTCATACGTGCCGAAGTTCTGCCACATATCAAGCCCAGGGCGACCTCAAAGCTGGAGATTCTGCAGGTGACAGGCTACTTATGTATATCTCTCGAGCTTTTCACCCCTTCGTGTGCTTACGGGCTACATGACCTGTTTCCTTGGCGATACTGCCTTCCTCTTTCGACCATTTCCTGGCAGATGTCATGAAAGGAGCGGCATCGCTTCCTTACTCGGTTGATAAGGAACAACGAGATGTTGCCGGGGATTGCATGCGTTCAGTGCTTACCACAGTAGTGTTGCGGCGGGGAGGTGGTCGGTAGGCACTATCAGCACCCTCACGGTCCCTCTAATGAGGAGGACGAGACCAGGGGGAAGACAAGGAACAGGCCCCACGATGGAGAATCACACACACCAAATGGCCCCATCCCGACAGGCGGCATAAGATCCAACATATGCACAACCAGGTCAAGCAGGCACAAAAGGCCTAGCAACTAATATTGGCAAGGATCTCGGACTGAGAAACACTGGAGCCCGTCGTTATCCTCTCCACCTGGCGGCTCCCAGCGACCTCATAAGTTCATGTCATCCAATCTGCGTGACCCGCCTGCTTGATACGGCGACATCGTCGCGGTCCGAGGACGAGGAGATGGATTCAAGCTCTCGAGAGTCGGCCTTGGGCGACTGGCTTCATGGGAGACAGGCCCGGAAGCGATTGTTAGTGGGTGTCTCGCTGCGCGACCTCGACGTATACGGGTTCGTCTCGTCGACGACACGGCAGGCGACAGTTCTCTCATACGCACTTGCGCTGCCGAGACTCGTCGTGAAGCTCTTCTCTCGCTCGAAGGGGCGAGTGCAAATTCTACGCGGCATCGATGGCGTGGTGAACAGCGGCGAGATGCTCCTCGTGCTGGGTCGGCCCGGCAGCGGATGCACTTCGCTCCTCAAGGCCCTTGCCGGGGACACCCACGGGATCTCGATCGGCCCCGGGAGCATCGTCAACTACCATGGTGAGGTGTCTCGACGCCGGAAACGATTCGGCCGGTCTCAGGGTCGACTGACCGCGTCACAGGCATCTCGCACCGACAAATGCACGCCGACTTCAAGGGGGAAAGCATCTATCTGGCCGAGCTCGACGTCCACTTGCCCGAGCTGACAGTCGAGCAAACGCTCATCTTTGCTGCCTTGACTCGAGAACAGGGCGCTGATCGGCAGTCCGTCTCTCGCATAACAGGGCGTCGTGTGGCCCAGATGCTGGATCTAGGCAACACCCTCGACACGCGGGTAGGCAGCACAACGACACGCGGAGTCAGCGGAGGCGAGAAGCGAAGGACCAGCATCGCCGAGGCCATTGTCGGCGGCGCATCGCTGCAGTGCTGGGACAACAGCACGCGCGGGCTCGACAGCGCCACGGCCCAGCGCGTTGTCGGGCTGCTGCGAGAGTCTACGACTGTTTTGAAGACGACGGTGGCCATGAGCGTCTACCAGGCGTCCGAGATCATGTATAAGGTGAGCATGTTCCCCGGGTAGAGGCCCGATCTGATACAGCCGCGCTTATGCCTCGGTTTCTGGATAGAGCTTCGACAAGGTCACGGTCCTGTATCAGGGGCGGCAAATCTACTTTGGCCCTGTGCAGTCGGCGCCCGACTACTTCTGCTCTCTCGGCTTCGTGAGACCTGATCGCGCAACGACGCCCGACTTCTTGACCTCTCTGACGAATCCCTCGGAGCGGATCGCGCGACCGGGCTTCGAGCATCGAGTGCCGAGATCGCCGGACGACTTTGCGACTGCTTGGAAGCGGAGCGCGCAGGCCAAAGCGCTCCATGCCGAGATTGATGCGTTTGAGGCGGCTTATCCAATACTGGAGACAGATGAGAAGCTCAGGTCCGTCAATAGCCCGTGTCATTGGCGGTAACGGCAAGACTGTCAACACTAACATGACGGGCTTCAGCCGTCGAACCTCGACCTACGCCATCTCACTGCACCTTCAGGTCCTGGTCTGTCTCGGGAGAGGCTTCCAGAGGCTTCGCAATGACCCAGCTGCCGCCATCTCGCTCGCTGCAGCCAACGCCGTCCTCGCCCTGCTTCTGGGCAGTGTCTTCTACAAGCTGCCCGTCACCGCCGACAGCATGGACAGACGGTCCGTCATCATCTTCTTCTCTCTCATGCTGACGGCATTCACCCCGGCATTTGAGGTAAGTGGCCTCGTCCCTCAGGCGCGGAAGCACCAGCCTGACCCTCTGGCCGCAAGGTCCTTGCCATCTGGGCGCAACGACCAATCGTGGAAAAGCATAGTCGTTACGCCCTCTATCATCCCTCGGCAGACGCGGTTGCTTCCATGATCTGCGACTTGCCGAGCAAGCTTGCGACGGCGGCGCTGTTCCAAACCACAATCTACTTTATAACCAACCTCCGACAGACACCTGCTGCGTTCTTCACCTGGCTCCTCTTCAACTTTGTCCTTATGCTGGCCATGTCTGTGTGGTTTCGCTTGCTAGGATCTATTGCCAGGAAAAGGGAGCACACCATGGCTCCGTCCGGCATCATCATCCTGCTCTGTGTGATCTACATTGGCTTCGTTGTTCCCGTGCCCTACATGGTCGGTTGGCTGGCTTGGTTCCGACGCGTGAACCCCATCGCCTACGCCTACGAGAGCTTGATGATCAACGAAGTACTGCGTCTGCTCTCGACTTCGAGATTCCCGCTGACAAGGGCAGTTTCGCAATCGCCAGTTTCCCTGCTCGTCCACGATTCCCACCGGCCCGGCCTACACGGCTGAGGGTCTAGACGGCAAAGTTTGCCCACACATTGGGGCCGTGGCCAGGCAGGATTTCATTGAGGGCTCGGCGTACCTGTTGGACAAGTACCGTTATGAGCCGGGTCATCTATGGAGGTAAGATCTCTGAGCGACCAGTCCTGTTGGCCCCCTATCTCCTGGCTAAGCGGTAGCTCAGGAACCTCGGGATCCTTCTTGGCATGGTCGGCATTGTATGTGCTTTACACTTGGCTGCAGCCGAGTACATCCCGGCGCAGAGATCCAAAGGTGACCTGCTCCGCTTCCGGAGCGGACAGGTCCGGGAAAAGAAGGGTTCGGACCTGGAAACCAACTCGGCGGTCACATTTGCGCAGGACCTTGGAAGTGGAATAGGTCAGGATTCGCGGGGGGAGGGCAATGCTTCAGACAAGGCCATCCGGAAGCCTTTATCTGTCTTCCACTGGACCAACCTGTGCTACGACGTCAAGATACCTCAAGGCACGAAGAGGATCCTCAACGGCATAGACGGATGGGTGAAGCCGGGAACCTTGACGGCCCTGATGGTACGTCCTGATCACTGATCACAGCCTGCTGCTCCACTCTCTTGCTGACATGGTTTCAGGGCGTGACAGGCGCCGGCAAGACCACCTTGCTCGATGTGCTGGCGCATCGAGGCGCGTCTGGAGCGGCGAGCGGCCAAGTCTACATCGACAGCCACTTGCGAGACGCGAGCTTCCAGCGAAAAATAGGCTACGTCCAGCAGGAAGACATCCACGTCCCTACCTCGACGGTGCGCGAGGCACTGGAGTTTAGCGCCCTGCTGCGGCAGACGGGCAGTTGTGCGGCGAAGAAGCGCGAGTACGTGGACAGAGTCATTGACGTCCTGGACATGGCCGCGTATGCCGACGCTGTTGTCGGAGTTGCCGGTGACGGTCGATGCCCCCATTCACTATGTTGGCTGTTTCTCGAGGATAGGAAGCTGACTTTGCTGTAGGTCTCAACATCGAGCAGCGTAAACGGTTGACGATTGGTGTCGAGCTGGTGGCCAAGCCCGAGCTACTCCTATTCTTGGGTGAGGACTACGGCTCATATCTGCCGTCAACTTGGGCATGCTAACGGGTGGTTTGACAGATGAGCCAACGTCCGGCATGGACAGTCAGACGGCGTGGTCCATATGTACGCTCCTTCGTAAGCTCGCAGACAGCGGGCAATCTGTTCTCTGCACCATCCACCAGCCGTCGGCGCAACTCTTCTGCATGTTTGATCGGCTGCTTCTCTTGGACAGTCGAGGAGAAACCATCTACTTTGGTGACATTGGGCTGGATGCCTCGTCGGTGCTTGGCTACTTTGAGAGCCACGGTGCGCCCAAGTGTCCGCCGGACGCCAACCCGGCTGAGTGGGTGCTGGAAGTCACCGGCAGCGACGAGCCAGGCAAGGGGAAGGAGAGTTGGTCTCAAAAGTGGCAGTCGAGCCCACAGAAACTAGAAGTTGTCCAACATCTTTCAGGGCTACGAGCTGTGGCAAATACATCAGAGGTTGCGAGGACCCATGCAGACGAGTACGCCGCCTCCTGGTTCCGGCAACTGGCCGCTGTGTCGACGAGGCTGTTCCAGGAATACTGGAGAGACCCGGCGTACTTGTCTACCAAGGTGGCTCTCTGTGCAGGCATGGTGGGTGCCGTTGCTCGACGCAACGCCACGACGACTCAGCTAACCCGCGTTGCAGGCCCTTCTCAACGGCCTCTCGTTCCAGAACACGCGCCTCGACATCCAAGGGCTCACCAACGTGCTCTTCTCCATATTCCTGGTCTCGCAGCTCTTCGCCACGCTGAACCAACAGATCATCCTCCGCTTCGCTGACGGCATGGCACTGTACGAGGCGCGAGAGAGGCGCTCCAAGTCGTACTCGTGGAGCGTCTTCGTCGCCGCCAACCTCGCGGTCGAGATCGTCTGGCAGACCGTGGCCGCCGTGCTGGTGTTTACCGCCTGGTACTATCCGACGGGCCTCTGGCGGAACGGCGACACGGCTTTCGGCACAGCTGACCGGGGGGCTCTGTCTTTTGTCCTGGTCTGGCTGTTTTGTCTCTGGGTCACGACTCTTTCGCAGGCTCTTGCCTCGGGGATCAAGCATCCGGAGGTGGCTATCCAGATATCGACGCTCTGCTACTGGTTTTCCCTTGTCTTCTGCGGGTAAGCTGTGTTCCAACTACGCTGCTTGGCTGGTTATTCGTTCCGTCATCCCAGTCCAGAGCAGCAGCAGACTGACGCGGTCTCACAGCGTCCTGGCTACGCCGTCCAGCCTCCCCGGCTTCTGGCTATTCATGAACCGCGCCTCGCCGCTCACTTACTTTGTCGACGGCCTCGCCATCGCCGGTTTGGCCAACGCCCAAGTCACCTGCTCGGCGGTCGAGATGCTACACATTGAGCTCCCCTCTTCCTCCAAGCTCAGCGGCACCTGCGGGGATTACCTGGGCCCATATATTCGAGCAGCCGGTGGCTACCTGTCCGACCCGGGGGCGACGCGGGACTGCCAGTACTGTCGGATCAACGACGCCAACTCGTTTCTGCGGGCTCTCGATATCGAAACGGACGGCAACCCGTGGCGGAATGCTGGCTTCTTGGCCGTCTATGTTGTGTTTGACGCGGTGGCCGTGTTTGCGCTGTATTGGCTGGTTAGGGTGTTGCCGCGCTAGAGGAGCTGATGTTGGTGATGCTTGCGCTTGAAGTCGGCAACGAGGCAGTCGAGGCCTCTGATTGGCGTCTTAATCACGGGTAACGAGCTCAAACCCATGTACCCTGAGAGGAGTGTGTATGTGCGGAGAACTTGCACTGGCGATGAGACAAGGTTTAACAATAGCACAGCATTGTGATTCGTAACTCGACCTGTCCATTCCACACCTATTTGGACGCTGCTCGTCTGTGTCAAGCCGGACAAACTCCTGCTACGGCAGGCATTGGAGACTAAAGCGCCCAAACCTTGCAACCCCTGCATGTGTGCATCGGCGGCCAGTCAGTTTCTGGCAAGATCGGTCTCGGCTGCAGCCGGTGCCAGTTTTGGTCCTGCATTTACTTTAATTAGCTACTTGCTGGACCACATGGTGGCCCGGGAAGCTGACAGCAGCCGGATGATGTACCCGGACGTGTCAGCAGAACACACCATCTTATGACAAGGTCAAGGAGGCTGACCAGTCAAGCAATAGACAAAAGCGGAGTGCGACCGGCCATAACTCTCATATGCTCTTACGGGTATAGCATGATAGCAAACGGTCCCGGCTTGCTGTAGTTTGCTTACGGGGAGGCCAAGCATCACTACCCAACGCCTCCCGTGGTTCTAGAGCCGCTGCGATGCAACCAACCGATGGCATGCAAATATTGGGGGCGGCCTATGGACTGTTACTGTTGCTGTTGCTGTTGTGTTCGGCTGAAGAGACTTGTCACGATCAAGTCTTGATCACAGCCGGTCGAAACCGACGCTCTCTAAACACATTTACTCCCCTTCTTCCCCTCCTCTCTTCTCATCTTCCATGGCCCGTCATGACAGGGTCGAATCATGAAAAGTCACCCGGCACCATCCTTCTAACAGGCGCCAATGGCAGCCTTGGCAGCGCCATCGTGTCCAGCATCGTCTCGACGCCCGAGCTCGCTGCCCATCATGGCCTCTACACGGTGCGCGACGCCGAAGCCGCCCCGGCGCTGCGCTCAGCCCTCGGTGCCGCCCCCCGGCATTGCCATGACGTAAAGTCTCTGGACCTTGCCGACCTTGCCGCCGTGCGCCGGACCGCCGCCGCCATCAACGCCCGGGTGGCCTCGGGCGATATTCCGCGCATCCGCGCCCTCATCCTCAACGCGGGCTATCTCGAGTTCACCACGCAGGCCTGGACCGACGATGGCTTCGACATGAGTTTCGCCTCAAATTACCTCGGCCACTGGCTTCTCACGCTGCTGCTGTTGCAGAGCATGGACGCCGAAGCTGGGCGGGTGGTTGTTATTGGAAGCGAATCTCACGAGTGAGGGCACCCCCAGCTTATATCTTTTCTCAGACTCCTTGAGTCTTAAACAGGAACTTCCTACTAACCTCTTCTTGCCCTGAGCTAGTCCCTACAATGCCAAGAGCAAGGCGGCCTTCAGCCACGACAGGTGGACCTTGTTCATGCACGACACCACCGAGCACATTGCCAAGGGCACCTGGAGTTGCACCAGTGAGGATCCGACACACCACTGCGGCTTCCGGCGCTACGGCGCATCAAAGTTCTGCCAAGTCATGATGATGTTTGTTCCGCCGCGACCGACTCTTCCCCCTTTTCTGCCGTCTCGAGCGAATGCTGACGGGAACTCATTGCAGAGGCGAGCTCCAGCGCCGGCTTGACGCCGATGCCGCCCTCGGCAACATTTGTGTCCTCGGCGTAGACCCAGGTTCCATGCCCGGGAACCTAACGCGCCGAGGCCCCTGGATCATCCGCGTCCTCCTCTTCCAGCTCATCATGCCCTGGATGGCGCCCCTGTTGGCGTGGCTGCGGCCCAACGGCCCGCTCCGCACAGTCAAGCGGGCGGCGCCGGATATCCTCGCGGCCGCCTTTGCCTCGGTTCCTCCGCTGGGTGAGCGACCCAAGGGACTGTATCTGTACGGCTCCCGGCTTGAGGAGACGACGGCCGAGGCCAAGGACCTGGGGAAGCGGGAGGTGCTCTGGCGGGATACGGTGGGCTATACGCAGCTACAAGAGGGCGAAACGGCTCTGCGAAACTGGCAGTGATGAGCGCCCGGAATGACTTGAGCGAGCTCGCCGACTTTTGAATGGACGTCTTGACATGCATCTACTTCTCGTCTTCAGATGTACTACAGGTGAAAAGAGTACCCGACGCCAGTATAAAGCCTGGCTATGTCGTAATGGCTCGGTTAATCATGCTTTACGACTGTGCTGACTCGGGTTCTTATACCTACCACGGCAATATTGGCCATGAAGACCAATTCTACTCTTCCTACGATCCAGTAAAGCCACAAATGATCCATATTAATAGACGAAGAGATCTCGACTGTTTCAAGCTTTTTTTTTTTTTACTTTCCTCGAGACCCAAGCGAGAAATAAAGGGACAGATCATGAGACAATCTAGTTGTGTTTAAGTGAAGAAAGAATGCAAGAGGGCACAATACAAAGCAGCCCCCCCCCCACCTTCCCCCCCTTCATACCGAACTACTGTCAGATTGAGGGCGTGACTTTTGCGTCACCTCTGTGCTCCGCAGGATGCCAAACTTGCCGACCTGGGACTCGGGGAATCCATCTCCATGACCTCTGGAGCACACGGTAGTCTGCGACTTGACGAGGGCCGTCTCGCTAAGCTCATAGTACAGGCGCTGACGCGGGGGGGACCCAATCGTCGCCAACTCCTTTTTGGGAGACGACGCCTTGGAGTTGCTGGGCGAGAACCCGCTGTTGCCGTTGGGGCGCAGCTTGGAGCGCAGAGAGCGGAAGAGAACCAAGTCGGAGACGTGGATCCGGAGGAAGCTGGCAAACGCTGGCATTGCACCGACGACGATGGCCACGTTATTCTCGATGAGTCTGGGCAGTCGATGGTCAGTGACGCCGTACTTAATATCCCTTATAGTCGAAAGGGTCGACAAGCCTGTTGGTTCTCTGGTGGCAGACAGCACTTACACGGCAATCGAGGTACACGCCTGGTTCCAAGTCGTGTCGTCAATGCGGAGGAGTTTGGTACGGTAGACGAGGGCCACGACGCTGGCAATGACGGCACTATACAGCGGACAGAGCACTGTTAGCTAGAATAGTACAAGGAAGTTGCTATTCTCCTTCGTATATATGGAAAACATCAAAACAGAGCGGCTTAACTTGCATCAAGGCGGTGCCAAAGAGACTAATGAGCTGGAGCCGCTTCGATCGGCTCATTTTCAACTTCACAAGAATAGGCAGGGGGAGGATAAAGATGTAAATATCCATGCAGATGGCAATGGAGCCCTGGACGACGCCGTACACTGACTCGCGCAGTGGAAGCTCGCTGGCAAACAACGACTCCCAGGTGTGGCCGGGCCGCGGGGCCCCAAAGTAGGCGGCAATGGCCACAGAGGTCAGGTATGTGCCGGCCGCGATGAAGAGGCCGACGTAGACGGCGAAGCGCATGGGCCGGTGGATGGAAAAGAACTGTAGATACATGAGGAAGATGGCGGCTTTGGCGAAGAAGACGGCGGGGCCGAAAATGGTCATCTGGGCGAAGAGGAACTGCGTGGACGAACCGGCTTAGGCTCGACTTCTCTCTTTTGGCAGAGCAAAGAACGACGCGTCTTACCTTCATGTACTCGGCGTTGAACCAGCAGGCGGGCACATCCCACTGGTGGCGCTGATATCTTCCAACTGAATGCCCCCACGGCCGGTTAACGAGCGAAACGAGGAACAGCAAGGGATTGCCTTACACGCCACAGTCAAGACGGTGAAGCCAATTATTAGGACGGTTCCGACCACGGCAAAGTCTGTAGATGATTCTCGTTGGCATCGACACACGTATCCAGTCTCCGTCCCACATCTAAGAGGGCAGGCGACTCACAATCGGCCGCGTGTAGCTTTCGAAAGTTGACAAAGACGCGGATCGTCGTGAATAGCAGCGACAGGGCCGTCATGGCGACGCCCACGGCGGTGACGGCCGACTGCAGCGACTCCGGGTCGAGAAAGTTTGCCGAATGGCCGTCGGGAGGCGTCTGCGCGGGGACCTTGCAGAGGTCCAGTCCGCCGAGGCCGTCCATCTTCCTGGTCTTTGTTTCGGTCTTGGCTGTCAACAAGCTGATGAGAAGATTCGAGGTCAGAAAGCGCCAAGAGCGCATCAAATTATCAGAACGGCTACGAGCTCTTGGAGTCAGAAATGTGAGACCGGCATCAAGAACCGACGACGTTCAAGGCCCTATTCGATGGCCAGAGGGGTGCCGTATCCCCACGCTTTCCGTACGGGGAAGCACGCCTCGTGCCATAGTTGATCCATTGGCGTACATTTGGGTTGCAGTATCCGTACTCCGTATGCAGCTTACTTGCAGGACACGACCAGGTATGTTGTCGGGCCCCCAAGGTCCACTGGCCGATCCCCTGCTGGACGAGGCCTTTCCGTGATGAAGTGTGTACGAGTCAAATAAAAAACCCCGGGGTCCGTCGAGTGCTGTCGTCTGTGGGGACGATGCCAGGCCTGTCAGTAAGCTTGTAGATGCCTCGGAGCCGAAAGACGGCCCGGTTGGCATAACGGGCCTTGAAATGTAACCTGAGCCCGTCGCCAGTGGCGTGACGTTGTCAACGACGTCTCCCCGAAACTTCAGAGGCCTTGCACATTGAGATCCAATCTCTCACGCCCATTGCCCTCGTATTCCTTTTTCCGCCTCATCGCCACTGGCTTCAGCGACAATGTCAGCAGAAGCTGTCGCCGGAAACGTCGACTTGGCGCTTAGGGCGTTTCTCCTGGTGTCCCGAGAGCACGTCATTCTAGTCCGAGCAATCGCGGTCCTTTTCGTCCCCTGGATCTGTTGGCGATGCTGGATGTTCATCGTCTATCCGCTTCTCCATCCACAAAACCCCAGACAGCTACCATATTGGATTCCAAGTCAGTCGACATCCATACCATTTGAATTTGACGCCTCTGACCCTTGGACGTCTTCACAGTCGTTGGTGAGTCCATCCTTGACGCCAAAGCTGTCTGATTGCTGAACCTGACACGTGCCTCACGCCTCAGGGCATGGGTTTGCCTTTTTCAAGAATTCTCCTGCGGTTCTTGGCAGAGCTGAGTAGGATGATTCTTTCTACCCAAATCGACGCGCAGGCCGAATGAGCTAAGCGGTGAACAGTGAGCACTTTGGAGGTAGTAAGGAGCTATATTCTCTCTGCCTCTTTGGAGAGACTATATATGTCGTCACGGACCCAAGACATACCGTCGAGGTAGGCAGTCCTGCATCTCTTTGTAGTGCATTCGCCCGTGCAAAAGTCGTTGCGCTCAAGGAGAGGAGACCCGGGAGCACTTGACTCAGCATCTGTCTCGACCGCATCATCAACAGGCACGCCTCAAAAATTCTTCACAAACTCGTACTGACTGGTCTCCTAAAGGTGTATAAAAACACAAAGAACTTGACGTTTGAAGAATTCGTCATCGGCATCCTCAAGCAAACAGGCATGAGTAAGGCGGGAATTCAAAGCGTATACAACCCTCTCCCAGAGACCAAGCCCGGCTTCCCGAACCCCAACGGAGACCCCCTCTCTGTCCTGGTCCGGCAGATTCACATGCACCAGGCGTACCCAGGCGAGAATCTGGACATTCTGGACAGTCACTTCGTCGCCTGGTTCGATGGGCACTTTCGCTTCCCGGCCATCCAGAAGACGTGTGCGACCTATGCTTTCCCCAGGGGCGAGAGCGAACTCCAGGTGCCGCTCTGGAAGTTTTGCTCCGAGATCCAGGTCCAAGCAGCCGGAGAGTGTTACTTTGGGGACACGCTCAGTAAAGTTCAGCCAGACTTTGCCGGGACCTTTCTGGAATTCGACGACCTTTGTTGGCAGATTCTATACCAATATCCCAGCTTTCTCACGGGAAAGCTGAACGCGGCACTAAAGAAGATGCAGCGAGCACTCCAGAAATACTTTGAAATTCCTCAAAGTCAGCGACGTGGCCAGCTCTGGCAGGTTAATACCATGGAAGACGAACTCCGGGCTATAGGAGTCTTGGAGAAAGACATTGGCATCCTGTTCTTCAACATCTTCTGGGGGTTAGTGTTGAGCTTTACCAACTTCTCCCTATTCTCTTCTCGTCGGACATTGACAACAATGCCCCTTAAAGCCAGCTAACGACGTTTCCCTACAGCATCAACACAAATTCGCGCAAGACGGCGTTTTGGATCCTCAGCTACCTGCTCCACCATCCATCCGAGATGGATGCTGTGCGGGAGGAGACGGCCAACGCCTTTCGGGGGGACCAGCTCGTCCATCTCGAGTACCTGTACGAACAGTGCCCCCGGCTCAACAACATCTGGCACGAGACACTGCGTGTGTATTCACACGCCGTCTCGGCCCGGTCCATCAAGAAGGACACGGTTATTGGCGGAAAGCTGCTACGCGAGGGCCGCCGCGTCATGATTCCCTTCCGTATGCTCCACATGGATGAGTCCGTCTGGGGTGACGACGTGGGCGCCTTCCGCCCCGCCCGGTTCGCCGGCAAGACGGCAGAGCTGACCAAGAGCCCGAGCTGGAGGCCGTTTGGCGGCGGCAAGTCGTTGTGCTCCGGGCGCTACGTGGCCAAGCACCTGACCTTCATGTTTACGGCCATGGCGCTGCGCCGGTTTGACATGGCCCGAGTAGGAGATGGGCCCTTTCCCGAGGGGGATATTGGCAAGCCTGCACTAGGGATGATGTCCATTAAGAAAGACCAAGACTACACCATTAGGCTCTCGGCAAGACAAGACGAAGCAGTGCATTAGACAACCTTATGCACAGCCTCACAGGCATGCTCACGGGACCCCTATCGTCCTCCGCAGTTAGGGTGGTGAAACACGGTTGGGCTGCATTCTCTCCGATATGACGGCCAGGTACGCGACACAGGCTTGCATGTGCGTAAAAGGCTTGGTCACACTCGGTGCTAATACCTCAGCGCCGATATAAGACATGCGCGCGTTGACTTCAGGCGAGACTGTACTCTATCCATAAGCCAGCTACCAGCAGCAGATCTTCGCTCGTCCCAGATTGATTGGACTTTGCCGCCCTCAGGCATAAGGTAGATGCAATGTTTTCTTATACGAGATCAGCTCTCTTTTCTGTTCGAAGCTTATTGGTTAAGGGAACAGGTTGATAATCAAAATCATGGCTTAGAAGCGAATTTACAGACATGCATTCCCCTTCTGCATCGTGAAGTCCCGAGTGGAAGCTGCGGCAGGAGACCTACTCCAGAGTCTAGACAGAGACAGTTCTTTTGCTAGTCTGACAACGTAACCCCATCGTAGAAAGACAAAGGGCCTCCGGAGTATATTTGTATGCATTACCACGGTGCAAGTTCCGAACAGTTCTCATGCATTTGTTGACGGAGGTGTATCACTCTGAAGTACGTCGTCCGGATACGGAAGCGATAGCAAGCCACACTCTATGCACACCGGAGACAGTAGGGATCATAAAGCTGCTTAGTGCCTAGGTTACCTATCGAGATGTGCCACGTCTTTATGGCGCATTCAGAGATGAGCGGGGTGTAAAGCCCAGCTAATGTCTTACCCAGCTGCATCGCATACAGGGGGTCAGGGGCGCTGCGGTGAGAGTTATAGGACTAGTACCAACGCAGGCGTGGCATTACAGTTTGGCAAGTATAAAATATTGACAGCGACATGCAATCGCGTAAAAAGTTGAACAGTCTAATTATAACCCAACAGTTCTTCTCAATTTTGCAACCACCCATCATACTAAAAGTCATGTTACCGTCGCTGGCTCTCTGCATCAGCTCCCTTTGCCTGCTTGTATTCGCCAGCGAGCATTGCCATTATGACAGCAACTGCTCAGTCGGGTACGTCTGTAACAAAAACACGTGCGAAAATGGATGCTACGATGATTCGGGGTGTCGCTCCGGCCAAATTTGCCAAAGTAGCCGCTGCATTGTAGGGTGTCGCGCAAACAGAGATTGCGAGTCTGGGGAAGCATGCAGTCGAAATAAGTGCCTACTATCTTGCTCACCTGGCCTGAGTTGGAAGTTTTATAAGCTCGCAAAATGTACCAGCGATATTATCGGCCCCGGTTGTATCCCCGAAAAAAAGAAGGATACCGTGGGCTACGATTTGACGTACGACTTGCTGGTCTCGGTACGGGGGCAGCGGCCTACAAGGGAGGGCAATACGAACCTTCTCGGCTTCAAATTTCCCGGTGGCAACGGCGACCTATACGGCACGGGAAAAACTAATGTCGAATATAGTGTCATAACAAACTATGGTTACTTTCACCCTAAAGTCACGGGCAGCTATACGTTCTTATTCCAGCATGTCGACGAAGAAGCCTATTTCTGGATTGGGGAGAAGGCGAAGGCCGGATATACTAAGGCAAATGCTGACGTCCGGGCCCTAAACAAGGGAGCCGATAATTCTATTAACCGGCACTTCACATTTGCAGCCGAAGCGGGTTCCTATTACCCATTCAGGCTGTATTTTTTTAATGGTCCAGCCTGGGCTACCATGCAAGTGCAGTTCACAGATCCATATGGGCAAAAAATCGCTTTCTATGACGAACATGATGATAAAAGGGTGCCGATTACCGACGACCATTTTTGTCAAGGCGCCTTTACCTCGTTCAGTGCGCAGAGCCCCGGTCTCGACCCGTCTGTTGAAGGGGCTGGGCAAGGTGGGTACTTTCCCACTGGGGAGCTCTAGAGCTCCCCAAGCTCTCCTTCCATGTTATGTCTGGTGGTTTCCCTTATCTGCCTGTCTTGGACAGCATGTGGTTGTATGGATCTTGTTAATGTCAAGTCGCTCGCTCATACAGAAAGTCAACATTATCGCTGCCTAGCAAGCAGCAGCATCTCCATCATGTATTTAACTCAGCTCAATCCCGCTCCTTTATATAGAAAATCAAGAACCGCCCATTGCCTGATTCATTAGGGATCTTCGGCCCGATCATTGCCGGCCGTGGTTGGTCAAAGCCTACGGCCCGACTCGTTACCAAGGCGGCCCCACATGACGTGGTCCTTTCAAGCCGCAACACCGCCCTTCACATCATAGTTTCTTTCTCTCCTCTTCAGCGTGGCAATAAACAACATTGCCCCTCGCAACCTTCGAAGTGCCTGTGAGTGCAGCCAAGTGGAGGCGTTATTGGTATAGTTTACAAGTCTTCGTCCTGCTTGCACTTATGAACCAAGCCCCACGATTTATCGGCGGCCACCACAGACAATGTTCCCTTCCAACAGTAGACTTCTGGTTCATCAACCCAAATTCATCTGTCAGAAGATTTCAGGCCTAAAGAGCCTCATGCTAGGCGCCGTAATCTAATTACAAGCCCCCTTCACTGTTATGGCCGCCTCTTCACCCATATCGGCTATAACAGTAACAACTATAAAAGAGAATCATTAGCCCGTTTATAACTAAAGCCTCTAGGAGGACCAGGATTCACATACCGAGTTCCTTGCCTTTATTAAACTGTGATTGGACAGACTCGCCCAACTCACCCGTAGGGAGCTTAACATCGTCCTTGGTGTTGCCGGCATCATCCATCGGGCTGATAAAACCTCCGTCTATACCAATCTTCAATTATGCTAGTGAGAAACTAATATATACCCTGTCAGTGTTACCTACCAACTAGAATTCTATGCGTTTAACGATAGGGACTTCCATGTTATGGATCGAGGGACTTATATCCCCGTACTTCTTGCCTATAAAGTCGGTCGTTGTAAATTCCCCGCCGCCCTGCACCGCCTTCCGCTTTTAGGCAAACCCCTTCCCTATTTAGCCCTTGCTATATACGGGGTTGCTATAAGAACACCTATACTCCCTCCCTCCTTCCGCTCGATTCTCCTTTTCTTCCTCTCTTACTCTCTTACCGTTATCCCTATCGGCTGGCAATATCTAATATATAGCCCCCTCCTTTATCTAACTCTACTCCGCTTATACGACCCCCTTGACTCTTACTATATAGTGCGCAGCGTATTATTACGTCTTCTCGGCTAACTTTTCGAAACTAAGCCTAAAACATAAAAAAAGTATACGCCTAGAACCCTCGAGAATAGTATATTACGCCCCCCTAAGTGCAGCCTCGCGTAGCTACTAGCGGGTGCGTAATATACTACCGAAGTTTATAAATTAAGCGAGGTTTTCCCCTATATAAGTAGAAAACTCTTCCCCGTCCTCGCTAACTAAGGGTATATACCCCCGCTAACGGGACCTAGCCTAGACCCGACCTAGGACCCTAGCCTAGGCCTAAGGAGGGCCCCTTTAACCCCCCCCCCCCCAACCTAAGGGCCGAAATAAGTACCTTAGAGGCTAGGGCTTACTTAGAAGAAGATTTAGAAGGCTAACGCCTTTTAAAGACCTTAAAAGAAAGGCCTAAGACCTAAGACTAGGACTTAGAGGATATTAAGATAGAAGATAATACCTAGCTTATATTAAAAACTAGCCTCTTTAAGCCTAGTCTAGCCTTACTTTAAGCTAGCAGTTATAAGAGTCTAAGCGTTACTTAGATAGTTAATAAGTATAGTTAATTAATAAGCTAGGTAGCTTAGTTAATTCGCTACCTTTTATTATATATATATAATATATTATATATAGTAAAGGTAGGTAGTATTATAACTATAGTATAAGGGAATATATATTATAGTACGATTAGTTAGGTAGTAGAGATAGCTAGAGGTAAGTAATAAGATAATTATAATAAGATATCCTTTTACTCTAAAAACTTTAACTTTAAATTTCGTAACTTTATAATCTATAAGTATACTATATCTAGAAACGCTAGCTATTAAGAGGGATTTTTTAATCTTACTACTAGCGATATAAAAAAATTTAGGGTAAATATTAATAAGATTACTAATAAACTTAGAGATATACTTACTAAAAGCTAAGATAACCTTATATTACGACCACGGCTAGCGGGCCGTAGGAGAGCCGGCCACGTTTACGTAATAAGGCGGCTCGGAATAATAGTTAGGACGAGAAGTTACTTAGGCTTAGCTTACCTAGAGCGTACGTAAGCTAAGTAAGCCTTATATAGATAGATTACTACTTAGGAGCATAGCTTATAAGTAAGCTATAGTAAGCTACGAAGGGGATCACGGCTAGAACCATAATCTAAGGACAGTCTCTATAGGTATATATAGCTACCTACTTTTACTCCTTTAAATAGATAGCTCTCTAGCTTTTAATATATTATAGATCTTTATTACGATTTTATCTTTAATTCTAATTACCTAGTTATAGTCTATAGTTTACGACCTCTAACTTATTACTAACGTAATATACTTATTATTACTTAGACCACGCCCTATTATATCTACTAATATAAACCCCTTAATAGGTTTATCCCTTAGGAATAATACCGGTCGTTATACCTTATAAGAAGACTCTACTAACTATGACTCTTACTTATTAGTAAATTTAACGGTAAAAACGTAACTAAATTCCTTAAGAAGTTTAAATAAGAAATATATATTAACTATATCTATAATAAAGATAAAATAAACTAGCTTAAAGTTTATATCTCCTTTATATAAGCCCTTACTATTAAAATTCTTATAGACGGACTTACTTAAGAAGATATAAAGAAGAGACTCTTTTAATACTACTACGTATATAATATTAAATAACTAGAAACTACTAACGACCGCTTAAACTATTATAATACTAAAAAGCCTAAGACTATTATAGAAGTTATAAAATAGCTTAGTCTCTACTTATACCTATAGTATAAGGTATAACCTAACGGCTAAGAAGAATCTATAGTCTAGTTATACTTTATTTATTAT